CATATAATTGATATTGCAAAAAGCATTCTGTGTATTTCTAGTAAGAATGTAGGTTTTGAAATAGTGCTTTGTAAACAAAACATAAAATAAATGTTTCGAAAAAAAATTCTTGTGCACTATTTCCACCTATATTTTTTCTTTTTTCCCAAGAACTTTGCTTATTGTAGTTCAAATTACAATTAAATGAACAATAGCATTCTTAAAAAATATTTGTAAAAAAAAAACAACAAAGAAAACAATTGAGTGGTCTGTCAAGAAATTATGAGCTTCCAATGAATGATGATCACATGATATGACGTCAACTAGTAGTATTGCTTAATGGGTGTAATTCAAAATGTTATGAAAATGCTCAAAATTACCAAAAACATCGATATCAAACGCATGCTCAACAAAGGCAATGAAGAAATGTATCTACATTATGTAAAGATGAAAAACAAGTTAGGCTTTCCAGAAAGTCTGATATATGGATATCATCTCTTTGGCTTCTATAAAGTCAAAGAATGAACAGTGGAATGTAACTGGTTTTTTGTTTGCTATCAGTGAAACATTATTATAATATTTTTTTAAAAATCATTTCAGTGGAGTAACCCTCCTGATTGAACGTGTCTGTAATATTTCAAGTAAAAATATGTTTTACTTTATTTCAAATACTTTTGTGCAATGTATTTCAAAAATGTAACAGAAAGAAGTGTAACATTTATTTTTTAAAGAAAAAAATGCGAGTAATTTTGTTAATCTTTTCAACTTATGAAATCTTGGATCCACATCATGGCTTATCTAATCGCGGTCATGTTTAGTGTAGAACCTACTTTAGATATACACGTGCGCGCTGATCATCGTTTTTATACTGAGTAAAATAAGTTTGGCAATTGTTTTTCCATAGGTATAATTTTTAAAAAGTTTTTCGACATTGTTTTATTTTGCTTCTACTTAAAATTAATATAGAAAAAAGGAAATTAAATACATATTTCAGTTTTCAAAATTAAGCACCTTAATTATTAGGTAATATGGTGATATGGGTAAATACATGTGTTTATCAGCATCCCGCAAGACTTGTAAGAAATTGATACAATTTTGTCTTTATAAAAGTTTATAAGCATTCTTAATTTGTAATGGATTTTTGAATTGAGATAACAATTTGAATTTATGGTTTATCCAAGATATTCCATGTCAAAATGTGATATTTGGGACTTAAATACTAATAACACAATCAGTGGTGAATATTTCATATAGGCAAAAAGGCTGTAGCCTTAACATTATTTTCTCAAGAATAAAAATGTGCTTGAATAAAGGAGCGGGGAATTCATAATGAATCATACCTCTTGATTTTTCTGTTGGAAATGAAAAAAAGGCGTTCTTAGCAATCCGCACTTTTATACCTAACCGACTTTGTTTACTGTTTTGTTTTATATTTAAGGACAAAATTATTCCCTAAGCATGACATTTTTTAAAACAAATATCAAGTGTTAAATGTATAAAGTCTATATCAGAAGGATATGGAAATAACGAACAGTATTCAATCTCAACGTCCATTTAACAAATATACAAAATAAGAGCAGAGCAAACACGGACCCCCGAAACATCAGAGGTGGGATCAGGTGCCATGGAGGAGTGAGCATCACCTGCTGACCGGTCACACCCGCCGTGTGCTCGTTGTCATAATCAGGATAAAACGGAAAAAATCTGTGGTCAATTCAGTGTATAAATAATGGACTAATAATTGGTATGAAAAACGTCAGTCAGCATTTCATTCAATGATAAATTGTATTTGCAGAACATTTAATCAAAAGCAAGAGGATCCCATAATATGTGCAGGAAACGAAATTGATAACTTGCTTTCTATTCCTTTGTCAACATTTTGATCAAATTTTGATTATTTAGTAAGGAAGTTTCCATAATTTCTAAGCAGATATAGAGTAAAACTAGAGCCGAGCTCGTTGCAAAGCAACGAATAGGTCTTCCGTTGGAGCTACGGAAAGGTAGACGTAACCTTGAGTCTAGGTCAAACCATTATAAAAATTTTAAGTAAACAACCCAAAGGTTTGTTGAGGAAGCAACTTACAATGTTTCGCCAGGAAAAAGACTGTAAAAGAATGTTATGTGCATGACCTTGAACTTTCTAAATGACCTTGCAACAAGCAAAGACAAACTCTGTTATAAAAATACATACTCTGTGTGTTACCGAGTGGAAAAGTTCACGTATGTTTTTTTTTAGATATTCTTTTAGTTCATATCCAACCAAAACATCTTATCTTAAGTGACCTAGAACTTAAGACAAGGTCATGTCCCACCCTGCATTATATGAGCAATGTTTCACTGGTACAAATACGGTTGAGAATTTAAAGTTTCTCTATCAGTAACAGTGACTCGTCCAAAAGACTGGATACGTTCACTCAAATTTTTATTGAGCATATATCGAATCGAAAGAATTTATTAGGTTCAAAACTATGATTTACATGATGATTTATTCAGAAATATGAGTGTATGACGTTTTTTGAGAATATCTTGAATAGTTTCTTAAAAATTGAAATCTTAAAAATGGAAATTCCGTTCAGATAATGCATTTAGGCATAAGCTTACAATAAAATATCTCAAATGGTTTCTTTAATACTATGCAAATTTCAAATTAAAGACAATTGAGGTCAAGGTCACAGGAAAGTTCAAGATTAAACTGTATCAGGATACTAAAGTTGTATAAAAATGTCTTGAATGGATTCTTCAAAACTGAAGGTCGCCCGTTTGGCACAGTAGTTAGAACATCTGTTATACACTAAGGTTTGGATAGCTCTCATAAGTGTGTACAGTGTATCAGCATATGAAGTTGAGTAAAAATATGAATGCTTTCTTCAAAACTGAGCTTAATACTCAATGAATTAGGTAAGGTAAGATCAAGGTGAAAGGAGAGGTCAAAGTAAAAAAAAATGCATGTATCACCATAAGAAGTAAAAGAATACTTATAGTCTTGAATGGTATGTTTCTGAGTTAAACACTAATCTGAGAAAAGTTAGGTTAAGGTCAAAAGAAAGGTAAAACAAAATGTTGATGCAGTTACAAACGTGTAGCTAGCCTGTAGTATGTATCAGCACATATCAGTACATATCGGCACATGAAGTTTGATGATACTATCTTGAATGGTCTCTTTAGACAGAATTCATAAAAGGTGAGATTAAGTTCAAAGGAAAGGTAAAAGTTAAAATATGTTGATGCAGGAAAATAGCTCTAATCAATGTTTATCAGCATAGGACGTTTAATATAAAAAAAATTGAATAGTTTCTTTGAAATTGAGCTTTGAACTGAGGTAAACGCAAAGCGGGGAAGAGGGACAGAAGGAAAATGGAAGACGTACATGACAAACAATATATGCCCGGCCATTTTCATGTGGAAGCATCAAAGTTTCACTGAGAAAGTTTTATTTGAAATTTGGAGACTTGTGAAATGATGCGTGGAGACCGATCCTATGGATGAGACTGGATAAATCAAGGTCTTGTGTCGGAGTAGGTGCTGGCATGAAAAGGATCAAAGCACCTGATTTCATCAGGCATAAAACTTGAAATTAATAAATGCACAAGCAAATACGATTGATTAAAACAAACTATGAGATAGAGTGAAATAAAATACCATATAACGGGTAATTTTTACTGCTGTATATTTTTACGAATTTGGGTCAAAAAAGGTGATTTAAACTTTTAATTACGTTGATCTTTTACGAATTGAATATGTCCGTAAAAATTCAAAACATCAGACGTAAAATTCCAGATCACATTGAATGCATTAATTTTACGTGTACAAATAACGTGTCCAAAAACCTTATGTAACTTGTAAGAGAGAGAAAGAAAGAGAGAGTGAGAGAGTTATTAAACACATGTTAATTTGATATAACAATATAAACAATGCAAACAAATTACATAATGAATTGTATACAGGCGCAGATCCAGAATTTTTCTTCCAGGGGGGTCCGACTTTGTAAAAAAAATCATATCCCGGAAATTTCTTGACAAGCAAAAAAAAAACAAAACGTAAAGTAACACTCCCCCTAACGTCAAAAACCTATTTTGTAAGGGGGGGGGGGGTTAGTGGTGACTTCTTTTCTTCCTTTGCCTCAAATCTTTAACTTTTCATACCCATTTTACACCCCCCGACCCCCCTCTAGATCCGCGCATGGTATAATTTTTTTTTAAATAACCTATATATACATGAGCAATGTGCCCTTCATTTATTCATGTTTTTTTTTTTATAAACATAGCTAGGCACACGTGCATGTCTGGTATATTTACCGAAAACAAAGAGAGACAACTCAAACTAACATAATTGAAGTGAAAGTATTTAATTAAGTACAGCGTATTAAGAGGTCGAAGTTTTATTCAAAGCACATCAAGCAGAAGAAAGTGTCCAAGATTGAAAACACGGGTATACATTTAATTGGAAGAGCTGTAATTATTAAGTCATTATCAGAAGTTATTGCTTCACAATCTATTCAGTGAAGTGGCCAGAGATTTAAGGGTTTGTTTTTCCACACCATTGAACACAATGAATACAATGAATCCAAATTCAGCAATGAATCCAATGAGTGCAATGAATTACAGTGTTTCCCCTGTAGGTTATCAACCCCCCAATCCTTCCTTAGCCCAGCCTGCGGGTTTTATAACACAAACTGACTACGGAACAAAAATTGATAACCTTGCTCAAAAACTTGACCAAATGTTTCAAAAGCTGAACAAACTTGACAAAATCGAGTCTAAAATCAATTCATTTGAGCAAAAAATGGTAGGGGTTACCAGCGATGTGACTGAATTGAAAAAAAAACGGTGAGTGAGTTAGAGAAAAGTGTGAAGTGCGATAAGGTAGATGAAAACGAAGTCATTGGGAACGAAATCAAAGACAAACTACAATCCATGCAAAGTCTTGAAAGATCAAATGCTAATTTAACAGCAAAATTGGAAAATTTGAGTTCTGAGGTAAAGGAACTTAATAGTCGACATATTGAATTACAAGCTCGGACAATGAGGGACAACCTGATTTTCTACGGAATTCCTGAGACTGATGAGGAAAATTGTGAAGATAAAGTAAAAATATTTGTGCAAGAAAAATTAGAAATACATCAAAATGTAGAATTTCATAGGGTCCATCGGATGGGGCGCAAGGTACCTAACAAAGTGAGGCCAATTGTCGCAAAATTTGTTCTGTTCAAGGAAAAGGAAATGGTGAGGAAGGCAGCATATAAATTAGCAGGAGATGAAAATAAACAATTTGGAATCAGTGAACAATTCCCCCGTGAAATTAATGAAAAGAGAAAAAAACTTTATCCTTATTATAAAGCTGCTAAGCAACAAGAGAGGAAAGCGCAACTCATCTTCGATAAACTTATCATTGACGGGGAACTTTTCACACCCGACGAATCAGACGAGGAAGAAGAGAACGGTAACAATTTAAACTTGCCGCTAGGACGTCATACAGATCCGCGCCTGTCAGCAGCGGCCGCGGAATTTACACCGAGACCCAGAGGCGGGGGCCGAGGAGGATCCAGAAGAAGACCGGGACGTCGTAGATAGGAAGACCATGGAGGGTTTTGTGAAGACGCGTCCGGATATTTTAGTGAAACATCAAACTCTGAGTCTGACTCTCTTGAAAATTCTATCAAACAGCCTGGTAAAAACGTTATAACAAAATCTTCGGATACAGTGTTAAAAATACTTTCTATTAACGTATGCGGTATAAACAGACGTCTAAATTACCCCGAATTTACCGAACTAGTGAACCATTACGATCTGTTATGTTTTACTGAAACCAAAACAGACGACCTTGACACCGTTGAGCTGAAAGACTACGTATTGTTATCTAAAAATAGACACGCATGTGCGTGAGTCCGATCAGGTGGGATAATTGTTGGATTTCGCAAATCCTTGTCAGAATTCATTACACCAATAGAAACAGACTGTAAATTTGTTTACTGGTTAAAGGTGAAGGGTGATTTGTTTAATTGTAAAAGTGATGTTTTATTTGGTATTGTATATATCCCTCCACAGGGATCACTGTATAGTTCTCCAGAGGCCTTTGATGAAATAGTATTGGAGTATTTAAACTTAATAAATCAATTTGATTTTGTTTGTATGACATGTGATTTTAATGCTAGGGTGTCTGACAAAAGAGATTATTTTGAACAAAATGAATTGTCTGAATACGAAATTACTTTAGATGAAGATTGTGATAATTTAAGCGATGTTAACAAGTTGGGTACATATAATGTAAATATTGACAGAAAAAATAGTGATAAAAAGACAAATGCTTATGGATATCAGCTACTGAATTTTTGTAAGGTAAATAGTTTATATATAATGAACGGTAGAGTACCAAAAGATGAAGAAAGGGGGAAATTTACAACTACAAGATCAAGTGTTGTTGACTATTTCATATGCAATGCAGATTTTTTTAAATTTGTAAGACATTTTGATGTATTAGATTTTAATTGTTTGTACTCAGATATTCATATGCCCCTGACATGTCATCTAAATTGTATTACATGTGGTGAAAATGAATTAGAAAATGTGCCACAAAGAAATTTACCAGAAAGAATTAAATCGTGGGATCCCACAAAATCGAATGAATTCTGTACCAACATAAGTACACTAGAACTGCTGAATATTGAGCAAACCCTAGACAACAAAATATCAGACCCTGATAATATTCATAAAAGCGATGTAGATCTTCTGTTTAATAACACGGCTAATCTATTACTATCCTCGGCTAAAACTACATTTGGTACATTTTTACCACGCACCTTTGATACTGATAGAAATAAAAGAACTAAACAGTGGTTTAACGATGATTGCTACAAGGCAAGGAAATTTTGTAGAAAAACTAAACGTAGATACAAATTATATGGATCTAATATTTTCAAACAACAATTGGAAGATGCCCAAAGAAAATACAAATCTACTCTAAATAAGGCATACAAAGATTATAGAGCTAAATTGCAACGTAAAATCAAAAAAACTAAGAAGTTCAAACCCAAAAGAATATTGGAATATTGTAAATGGTAAAGGACCTAAAGAGCACCATAACATAAATATTGTAGATTTTTATAATTATTTTAAGAATGTTAATGAAAATGAACACGAATCAGAAGGTTAAGATGACGAACTAGACAATCATATTGTGGAATCGTTTGCTGATAGCTCCTTTATTAATGACCCTATTACCCCAGATGAAATTCTGAGTGTGGTGAAGACAATTAAAAACAATAAATCTCCAGGACCTGATACTGTTATAAATGAGTACATTAAATCTTCTGTTAACGTTATGGTGTCGCTGTATGTAAAATTGTTTAATCTAGTATTTGATACAGGTATTGTCCCAGAGGCATGGTTAGCTGGAAATATAAAACCAATCTATAAGAAAAAAGGTAGTTATACTGATCCACAAAACTATCGTCCTATAACGTTGTTAAGTTGTCTTGGAAAAGTTTTTACATCTGTATTGTGTAGAAGAATGACCAAATATGCGGATAATATTGACCTTATTAAGGAAAACCAGAGCGGCTTTAGGGCAAATTATTCTACCATTGATAACATGTTTGTATTTCATTCATTGATAGAACTGACATTATTTAAGAAAAAGAAATTATATTGTGCCTTTATTGATTTTAAAGCTGCATTTGATAAAGTATGGCGAGTAGGACTGTGGAAAAAGCTTGTTAAATATCATATAACAGGAAAATGCTTTAAAGTTATTATTAATATGTATAATGATTGTAAGTCTAGAATATCTCATAACAATGATTTTTCTGAATATTTTCCTTGTCAAAACGGAGTTCGCCAGGGTGAAAATTTGTCTCCTTTTCTTTTTGCTTTGTATCTAAATGATTTAGAAGAATTCTTAATAGAGAAAAATGTTATTGGATTGAAAAATCTGTCTGAGGAAATTGAACAAAAGCTAGATGTATACTTAAGAATTATGATTATGCTCTACGCAGATGATACTGTATTGATGTCTGAAACTAAAGAAGATCTCCAATATCAACTCAATTGTTTTCAAAAATATTGTGAAAAATGGAAATTACAAGTGAATGTTGATAAAACAAAAATTTTAATTTTTGGTAAGGGCAGACAATCTTCTAATGTAGTATTTACTTACAATAATAATGAGATTGAAATTGTAAAAGAATTTAAATATTTAGGAGTGTTTTTTTCAAGAACTGGATCATTTTATACTACTAGAAAATATAGTGTGCAAAGAGCAACAAGAGTTATGTACGCCATAATAAAAAAAGCACGAGAATTAAATTTGTCCATTGGTTGTCAAATTGATATGTTTGATAAAATGGTTATCCCTATCCTTTTATATGGTTGTGAGATATGGGGATTTGAAAATGTAAACATTATTGAGAAACTTCAACTAAAATTTTGTAAACTTATACTTCGTCTTAAGACATCTACTCCAAATTATATGGTTTATGGTGAGCTTGGTAGATATCCATTGAGTGTAAATATTAAAATGAGAATGATAAAATTTTGGTTAAAACTGTTGAAATGTAAAGAAACAAAATTATGTCACATTTTATATAGTTTTCTATACAGTTCATCAATGTACAACAATATTAATTGTAGTTCTAAATGGATTGAATGTATACAAAATATTTTACAAGAATGTGGTTTGAACTATGTCTGGATGTCTCAAAATGTAGAAAATGAAAAATGGTTGTTTAATATAATTAAGCAAACACTCATTGATCAATTCATACAAAATTGGAATTCAAATTGTGATGCATCAAGCAAAGGCAAAATTTATCAGTTGTTCACAAATAGTAATTTTACATCTAGGCAGTATTTAAATATCAATGTGTCAACTAATACTATAGTTACATTAGCAAGATTTAGAACCAGTAATCATAAATTACCCATAGAAATAGGCCGATGGAGTAATATACCCTCAAACCAAAGACTATGTACTCTATGTAATAATGATATTGGAGACGAATATCATTATATTATGTCGTGTCCAGCTCTACATGAAAGTAGAAAATTGTTAATCCCATCAACATATACAACTCGACTAAGTGCTTTCAAGTTTTCAAATTTATTTTCATGTAAAAAAGTATCCGTTATCAATAACCTTTGTAAATTCATTACTATAGTTAATAAGAGAGTTACCCCTCCAGGTTAATGTATACCATACAAATACTAAAGTTTTGAGTCCGAACATTATTTAATCTAAAACAATAAATTTCAACTAGTTACACTATGTAAATCTATTGGGTCTATTATTGAGAGAGTTGGCTGCTTAATTTAGGAAACTGTCATTTTTTATTGTTGGCTTTATTTTTCTCACGCATGCTGTATTATATGTATTGTACATAATTTATGTTTGTATTTTCTCTATACTGTTGTACGTTTTACGAGAATAAACTATTGAATTGAATTGAATCTAAAAAATAGTAACCATGTAGGTCTAACTTATAAATTAATTGACAATGTTTGTATAATTTATATACAAGTTAATTGAGATTTACCTGTATGATCCCAATTGATGATTGTGATTGGTGTTCAAAATACTAACAGTATACTAATTATATAGCCTCCATGGAGTGAGCTAAGTAGCAATAAGCATTACTTTTACACATACCATGTTAAAAAATTATACGAGCCGTTTTATAAATTATGTTAAATTTTTACGCCTTTAAATTTTATGGATTTATAAACCTAAAAAAAAACTAAAAAAAAAAAAATACCCGTCATTCAGTTATATGAAAAAGGCGACATGATTTCAAAGCCAATTTCCACTGTTGGAGTACACGATGTTTTTGACATTCGACATGCCTGCGGCTCTCTCTGACCACGCACGTTAAAAAAATAATGGAGAAACAAAAGAGTGATGGTAAAAATAAAACGTACATATAGTACATTACCTATCTCAAGACTTCCATCACTAATTATAATTATTTGCCGAAGCCCCTTTTCAATTACAATTTTGATAAAATACATTAACACGGAATAGAGAAATAATTTTGCGTGAACAGGCCAAAGAAAGTTATGAAAATTCAAATGATTTTATGCACCAGTGTTACGAATTGTGATTTAATGTAAGATCGGTGAAGTATTCTTATTGATTCGATTAATTAAAAACACAATTTTCTATTAATTGATAGGTCTTTGTACACAATGGATTTTAAACACGATCACAGACACTTGCTTTGTTTACGACAACAGGTGGCTGGTATACACAAGTGACCCCGATTGGTAGCGTGGGATTGGCGCGTTTGATTACGCAACTGTTACAAACATCTTGGCTGGCGAACGTGGAGATCAACTAAATGATCGTGAATTATTCGATTAGTAAAGCTTAAAATTACTTATAATTATATTTAATGTAGAAAGATAGATTTAATATATTCCGATGAAGACGTGTTCACTATAAAACTAATTAATAATACATAAAAAAGAAAAACTAATTGTTATATAAATAATTTAATAATGAACCGTAAAGCATGTATAAAGACATTTTAGTAGAAATTTAACATTAAATACCATAGGGTATATTATTGATAGGAAGTTTG